TTCACTCAGTGTCATCAAGTCTTCGTCCGATACCACGCCCTTCACTGTATTCATAGTACGATGTGCGCTCACCGAGACGGGGATGTTACCAAAGGCTACAAGGTGCGAGAGTTTATTGTACTGTTCTTTGTCTTTTAGTTCGAGAAGCAGATCACCACTTGCCATCTTCGTGGCCTTATAACCGGTTCCAATGGTTTCTCTCAAGCACTTAGCTACAAGGAAGGGTGAGATTGTTCTAGCTTTTGTAGATGATTGTTCGCAGTGGAGAACATGGTATTTTGGAAAAGTTTCTCTGTTTTTGGGCCAAAGTAGTAGAGTTGCGTCGGTGCGTACCCTTTTCGAGGCACGATCAGTTAGAGAGGGGGTCGAGGATCCCATGGGAAAATGTGGATTTTTCGGTAACAGCGCCTACCACCCACCACGGAGTCCAACAAGGGGACGTGGCAGAGCATGTGGGCATGTCTGCGCAACGCCAGCAGTACGCAGTTACTATAACCCAATATGGTTTACCCTAGTTTGGATAGCCACACAAGGTTAACCCTTGCCGCCAGGAAAAATCGGAAGTAAAATGAAGTGAGGAGAAGACAGGAAAGATGTAAAGTGAGAACAAAAGACGAAGATATAGGGAGAGAGAGATAGGAAAAGGCGACTGCCGATTTCCCCTGGGTGGGTCAGCCCAGGGGTGCCGTCTACGTGAAGCCGGGGCCAAAGGGGTGTGTTGCCTCTGCCGGGGGGCCTTAAAGGTCCAATCACCCAGCATTGGCTCAACCCCCAGGATCCCCTTTTCCCCGGACACGGCAAAGCCACGCACGGCTAGGCGTGGGAGGGAGCCGAAACTCCCTCGTTAGCTCGGGTCCGTGGTGTCGCTACACACCAAACGCCTACTTGCGCAGGCGCCCCTGCGGGGAACATATTGTCACCTAGTCTGGGGTATGCGCAACAAGACGGATGCTGAACGTGTTTTCTCTATGCAAAAGAGGAGCCTAAAAATGATTTCTGCCCTTTCTCCCTTATCAACTGGATCTCTGTATAAAAGTCTGAACGTACCACCATTCTCAGAGTTACATCAGCTTTCTTTGGCAGCAATGATTTTCCACGAATTCAAACGTGATCGCACCATGTTCTCAAGCAAATATCTAAACAGACAAGTGGCATATGACCTTTGCACTATTTCATTGACGGGATCAAGACCAAGAACTAATTATGGCACTAAATCTATAGATTATCAGATTATTTCATTGCTGAATGCATACACATCCCTAATCGAATTGGCTAATCAGAACTCAAGTATGTCTCGTTTTAAAAACAAGTAAAGCTACTTTTCCTGCCTCCTTGAAATTACAATTATTTTGCTTTGAACACGAAAATATGTAATTTTGTATATTTATGTACCTTTATAAAACTGTTAAACCTGAACAATGTAAACTTTGTATAATTTTTGTCCTAATGTGTTTTCTACTGTTCGTTTTTTGTTTATATAAGTTGTGCAATGAGCATTGCAGCTATTTTCTCCGATTTTACTCCTGGCTGTCCGACGTGTAAGTCCAGGGAGAAGGCCTCGTCAGGAGACATACGAGTCTCCTTTTGCCTTGCCTCGTGGACATATTTCTTGTCATTTAACTATGTCCGAAATAAACTGAAACTGAACTGAATTCCGCTTCGCAGGCTCATGCCGCCTCCGAGTCACTTGTCGACGAGCCCGTGCTGTTTGAGCTTCTCGCTTCGGCTGCTTGGGCCTTAAGCTTTGGGTCGGCTTGACGGCGAACTCACACTGCTGCTTTGCCACCCCTCCGCTCTGCAGCCTTGTCTTCATTCATATTATCGAAGCGCACTAACCAACGACTGTCAAAATAGAGAGAGAACACCTAGAGCGAGCACGGTTTGTAGTTATGGATCTCTAGCGGTTTCGGATCAAACTAGAGCATGCGCCGAAGTGGAGCGAGCGCTGCAGAGCCATTTAGTGGTCTCTATTCAAACTAGAAGCGGGAGCACAGCTGCGCTTGTACTGAGCGCTCCAAGTGCTAGCAGATGGCTACAGCGATAGAGGGGACAAGCCTCAGCCATAAGGGGCTTCGTCCATAAAAATGCTGGACCGGAAGTTATATCTTGAAGATTTATTCAAGAATCCCCATCTTACAAGATAAAACATTAGTGGGTAGTGAAAAAAAAAAAAGCAGCACTTCTTCACTCACCCTACCAGTGCCATATGCGTTATAATTCGGGACCCAAAATGCTCTATGTGTGCCTTTGTGTTACAAATTTTCTAAAGAAATCTCCAAGTCTGGGCAAATTTTAGTGGAGATTAAAGGCCAAGTGCAAAGATTCTTTGACCAAGACAGGTGAATGGCGCTTTCGTGTTTTTAATGATGCTCTTGTCACATGTCCAATAGCAGAAATACTCAGCGCACTCGAAAATAGTTTTCAATAACCAAAAAGGCGCAACACCGAAACCTAACCAGGTGCGCTGTTTATGCGTGACATAAAAGCTGGTAAGAACCGGCTTTTGTGCAAGGCACGCTGTTCCCGCCAACACGAAGCATAAAAGCCATGAGGACCAGATGCTCAAAAGAAAGATGGCCACTGCACATCAGCCACATCATGCCTGTGCCATGTGCACAAACTCGTCAGACCTGTCATATAGAAATGATGCAATTGATAGATGAAAAAACTTGAACCCTAGAAATTCTGCTCTTGTGTTCGTGGTGCCGGTTCACAAAAACAAGTTTGCAAGAACAAACATATCTTGCGACGTAGAATCTCTTCTCACTTCTGGAGTTAACAATGACAGCTGCGATTCAGTCGCAATCGGAGGCCCGCCACAATCTTTGATGAAGTAATGAAGCCGATGCGACACACTTGTTTACATTGTCTGCTTGCCTGGTTGTGCATTTCGCTACCAGATGCCATCAACAGTGCAGGTTCCTGAAGTCTGTGGCAGCTCAATCAGGTAAAATACTAAATTAAAGATGCTTGTGGAGACCATCTAGCATTAGCATTATTTGTGCATGATATCAGCACTTTTCTAGACAATTTGTAACAACATAATATACATAAATGTTTAAAATATTCTTTCACGTACCACCACTCTCTTTTTGGTGGCTTTCCTTTGTGCTGGTGGCAGCCGGCAAGGCATCTGCCTCCAAGCGCATATAAAAGCGTGGCTTGGACAACCCAAAAGCTTCCGTTAATTGAACGCTAATTTCATAGGACTCCAGCGAGGAATGATTGGTACACACGGCTGCCCATGTGCTTGGATACCAGCCTTCATGGCTAACCGCACTGATCCACTTCTAGCGGAGAGCACTGTCACTTGGAAAGTTGTGATCGCAAATTCTCTGCCTCTTGCGTGTGCGGTTTGTGCAACCCACAACGCAACACCAACTACCACCCATTGCACACCCACAGGGAATTGAAACCCGTACGCAAACCACTGGCCAAACATTCTCGCCTAGCGGACAGCACGGCAGATGCTGTAGCGGCACCTTCGGTTGTGTCGCTTCCGTCGCCTTGCCCTAAATGACGTCACACACAAAATGTCGGGAAGCAAGGAAAGCATTGAAAGACAATATATAAGATTGATTTGCGAACGATTTTCCCATATTTCAAGCCTGTAATTTAGCATAAATTACGCAAACACGCAAAGGTGCATAGCTAGCGAATTTCATCATAATCTACTGACCTCGCAAAATATCTCGACTTGGCCTTTCGATATGGTTACTTTCGTCGGGAACAACAATCTCTTCATTCACAGTCCACTTAGCGTTTAGAATAACAAAGCTGAACCACTTTATCTTTAAGGCCGGCGCCAGCCGAAAAAGAACTTGGTTCTGAATTCTTGAGTTACGAGCGTGTGCTGCTTTTGCGCGCTCATCTTACCAGTGCCCTTCGCACGAGTTCGGCGGCTTTCTCTTCGGCCTCTTGGAGTCGCTGCAGCCGGCGCTCTCTCGACGCCTTCGCCCGTACCGCGCGCCTCCTGCGATTGCTGTCTCGCGCAAGCTCGTTCCTGTGCTTTAGCTCCTCCTCCGTCAAGCTGGCACGTAACTCGCACCTCCTCCCTTGCCGGTGGCGTCTCCTGTCCTCCTCTGTGAGGTATACCTTACGGGGTCCCATAGCGTACGGGCGCTGCGCCGTGCTCCCTACCGGGCTGCAGAAATTAGGCGCCTTCTTCTTCTAACCACAACCGCCGCCACCATGGCATATTTTACGTTTGCAGAGCTTACAGCCGTGCAAGTATCCTGCGCCTTACTTCAAAAGCAGAGATGAAACCATCGCGCTGCGCTACCTCTGCGCGAGCCGCGCCACAGAACAGGCCGTGCCCGCCATAGTCTAGAAACGTTGGTGCCCGCGACTTTCTTCGGTGGCGATGGTGATCTGGCTGTGCCTGTTACGCGGGATCGCCTGCGCGAATGCAGCGTTGAATAAAGTTAAATAGATAAAACTAAAGAAGAATGGTAATGATTGCTGGAGAGACGCAGCCAAGGTCGCTGTATACCGCCAACAAGAAGTAATAAATACCGAATGGGGTAAAAAGTTACTCTACCTCCCACTAAATGGAACCATGTGGGGATGCGAAGCAGCGATGGTGTTCAGAGACAAGTTTTGTTTTCGCGCTATAACTATCGTCATTCCATTTGTAGGTTTCACTCACGACCTACTGTATTGAAGGTCGTGTTTTCACTTCTGTGTGGAGTGGTGGTAGTGGTTAGAAGATGAGAAAAGGCACCTAATTTCTGCAACCCGGTCGGGAGCACGGCGCAGTGCCTGTGTGGAGTTGTGTATACGGTGGGCACCGCTTAACGTTACCCCCCTCCCATTTGTGTGTATTACCGTGTGTGTGCTCAGACTGCGCTTAGAGGTGTTCTCCAGAGTTACTGCTACCTTTAGCTAACTCTAGTGTTCTCTGGCTGCTTCACACAAACTATATGGCTTCACATAGCCACTTGGCTCCCTTTAGTAGTGAGAGTGGGCGTAACAACGATCGTTCTCTGAATGCTACCGACCTTGCTTAGGTTGTTGTCGAACCCAAGTCGGTCGCACACGGAGCAGCTGTGTCCGAAGTGTCGGTCGTGGAAGTGTGCGGTCGCTCCGTCAGTTCCCGGTGGTTGCAGTTTTCTCGCACGCCTCAATGCCCTGGCCGCAGAATCACGTTGCCTAAACGCTTCGGGATTTGCGGCTCGCCGTTTCCGTTGCTTTTCGGCTTCGCGTTGCCTCGCACTCTCGATGTCTCTAGCTCGGCGTTGCCGTTGCGCTTCGGCTTCGCGAGCCCGGAGTTCGGGGTCTTCAGCTCGCCGTTGCCGTTTACGTTCGGCCTCGCGAGCTCGGACTTCGGGGTCCGATTGCCGCCGTTGCCGTTTTCTTGCGACTTCACGAGCTCGAAGTTTGGCGTCTGATTTCCGGCGCTCCCGTTTACGTTCGGCATCGCGAGCTCTCTTCCGCTCAACAGTGCTGCGCACGCTGCCGTCACAGCCTATGTTACCGATGCCGCCACAACTGGTGCCAACGTTGATGTCCATAGCGCCGTTTCATAGGAGAGTGCAACGGAGCGCATATACGAGCGCTAGCCGTGACAAAGGGACAAACGGGAAAGGGCAATAAACGAGGCGGAGGCAACGCTCTGACACTTCTCGCGCTCACGAGAGGGAATAGTTGGCGCATGCACAGCGGGGGGGATAGGACGGTCGCCGTGGTACGGACACAGCCGATAGTTATAGCGCGAAAACAGAACGACGACGAAAAGACAAGATGGACCATGACCTACTACACTCCTGACCTGTTCAGATAGCGGGGTTCCTATGGGAGCGCGTGTCCCCGCTCTCGTTCAATCGCTCGCCGTAGGTGGCGCTACCTATAACCTGTTCGTCTGCTTCTTTACGGTTGTTTTGTAGGCGCTGGTATAAGAATGCCTGCTTTCTGTGGTGAACTGTCGGCATATATGTGACTATTTCTTCCCATACATTGCTGGTCAAGTAAGCTGTTCAGTGCGCTTAAGAATTTATAGCACACTGGTTGACAAACGTGGAAACCCGTGGATTTACATGATTTTGGACAGCCTATGCGTTGTCGCGTGCATTTTATTGCAAAAAAAATTCTGAATGTCTTTTAGTATTATTATTTCTGGATATTTCTAAATTGTGGATCATAAATTCGCACTACGAGTGCTTTGTTGGTTAAAATTTGACTACAAAGAGTGAAGGTGACGTCAGCGAACAGGTGCTGCCTAGCGCCACGCCGCTCGTAGGTGACGGCCCTAGCGGCAGAAGGTATGAACTAGAACGTGGGCGCTGGAAGAGGTGCTCTCTGGGCAGGTCAGGAGTGTAGTAGGTCATGAGATGGACAAGAGCGCAGCTGCGGTGGTTGCGGTCCTGTGTTTTTCGTCTCCGGCGCTCGTGATTACGTTCTACTTCTGCCTGTACAAGTCTGGGTTCACACTGTTCCACGCGCGCTTGGCCCGCGCCAGTTTCCCGAGAAGTTCTTTTTTCGACGATTCCATAGAGTTTTTGCTTCGGACTTTGCAAGTTTACGGTCGGTTTTGCTTCGCTTTCTCTGCGTCCCAGCTCGGCATCGGCTCGTCTGCACTATTGTTTAGACTCCCTTTCTACAGCGCCGCTCGGCATTTGCTTGCCTCACTGTCGCTTCACCTTCGCTGCCGGGGTGGCGCCAGGTTTTTTTTTTTTTTTGGGGGGGGGGGGGGCGATACAAACAACATTGTTTTTTTTTTTTTCACGGGAGCAGGGAGGCACAGTACTTGTGCGCTGTATTTTTGTATTTTGACGACTTGCTCTTGGGTGCCGGGGGGGGGGGGGGGGGGGGCAGGCGAGATTTTTGGTGGGGGCTGCAGCCCAGTCAACACAACCCTGCTCCGCTGCTTTCTCCCGTAGCTCCGAGTGACCCAACCGTTACAACCATCGACGACAAGCCTACGCACATTCTCCTTTTAGTTGAACAGAGTCCATGGCGGGAAAGGGTGTGCGGCAGCTTCTGGAATAGGTTGTAATAGGTTATTACTGACTAGTTTTATGAGTTTTCGCACTCTGTTTTGCGAACAGATGGATCAAGTCCCTAGATTTCTGTATAATAGGAAAGTCTATGGATTTGTTGATACATACCATTTAGGTAGTGGATAAATGCTGGGAGTGTCCCCTGAAATCCGCTGCAGTGTGGGAGCGTTAAATAAAACATAGTCTTCGAAGAGTTTTAGCAACGGAAACTCCAGACGTCCGTACTACATTGGCTCCATGGTGCTTGTGGCAGTGCCGTGAAAAAGGTTGAGGAGGAGGAGACGAATGCAGAGGGAAGATAATGATAATTGTTAGGGTGTAACGTCCCAATACCACCACATTATTATAAGAGACGCCGTAGCAGGGCTCCGGGAACTTTCGACCACCTGGAGTTTTTTAAAGTGCACGCAAACCGAAGCACACAGGCCTCAAGAATTTTCGCCTCTATCGAAAATGCGGCTGTCGCAGCTGGGATTTGATCTCAGGACCTGCAAGTCAGCAGCCGAGTGCCTTAACCACAAGACCACCGTGACAGGTGATGCAGAGAGAAGAGAAACGAAAGATGAAAGATAAGGATAAGACGCAGGATGATGGCTACACAAAAAGATGATATAAAAAATGACAGCATGCATAACCATATAGAGAATAGCAAGGGTTGGGAATGAGGTGAGAGCCCCCACCTGCATCATCCTTTATGTGTACACATTGCGAGACTAAGGTTTTGTGCATTTGACATCCTTACCACTGTTGTTTTCGACTACGAGCATGTATATATGCTCGTTGTTTGGCCGGAAAAGCAAAATTCGTTCAATAGACTCAATTGCTAAGTACACAGCAATGTACAGGGGTGTAACTTTTTAATGATGGCAGCAAGCAGGCATATTTGTATTGAAAAGTGGGAGACATTCGCGTTTCTACACAGTTACAGTTGGAAGAATTCTTCTAGCATGTCTGTGCTTTGAGATTTCTCGTGGCAAATTTAATTAATCTTTAGCAAGATTACGCATGCAAGGCGGTCAGCACTGGGGTGAAGCTCTTTCCCAATGGGTCATGGCAGTTGCGTGGGTCGTTTAATATGACAACTGGTCGAAGGCATTGGAAAGGTGATAACGGTTGTCGTTCTACTAGCAGTTAGCAATGGAAAGCTGTGGCTTTTCCTCACATCAGGGAGGAATATTGCGCCGATCTTTACCGCCCTGCATGCGTAATCATGCAAGGCAATCAAATTTTGCTGCAGGATATCTCGGAGCACAGACATGCCAGAAGAATTCTTCCACATGTAACTGTGTAAAAATGAGACTGCCTCCAACTATTAAATATAAATATTTTCCTTTGCTGCAGTCATTGAAAAGTTTATTGAATCTTATTTAATTGTGCCACTGACAGCCATAATTATTGCCTCACTATGTGTCCCCCTGGATACAAAATTTATCTGGAAAGGTGGTTCTCATGTTCTTTCCAGTATTGAATTTTAAAAAATCATAACGCTTAGCTTTGAACACCCAGTATAGAGGTGTGGATACATTGTAACAATAGACACTTGGTAATCACTACCCACCGTCAATAGATTGCTATGACGTGTACGTTTTCTGGTTTCCATGTTTTTTTTTTTCTGGAATTCAGTAACTGTGTGCACATTGTCATAATTTGTGAGCTTGTAACTGAGCATGTAGACGAATCACCTGTGCAGTCACCTGGAGCCAATGGCGTTGCAAAGCGGTACCTGACACTTGCGACATTCTTCTATGGTAACATCAGTAGGAAGTACAAAGCAACACTTGTTCCTCGTGCGAAAATGTTACACATATGAGGAAGATTGACAAGAAACAGAAGAGTGTCCTGGCCATTTGAAAACTATTCACGTTAGTTCCACTGCGAAAGTATCACTCACACAGATAAGGCACCTGAAAATGTTAAATGACATGTAAGGGGCACTTGTTCACTACTAACCACCCAATAAAGGACACCAACAAAACATACTCTGGGTGCATCCCCTCCAATACCCAAACGCACAATAGGGTGTACTAGGGTGCCTGCACAAAACCAAGGACACCAACAAAACCCCATCTGTGAATGTGTCTCCTCCAATACACCCAAAGCACATTTTGGTGTCCTGGGAGACCAGCACACATTCAAGGAGGAACAACAAAGCACCCCCTCTGTGTGTGTTCACTCCCTCCGAAGCCCCAAAGCACAATCGGGTGCCCGAGGGTACCTGCACAAAACCAAAGATACCAACAAAACCCCATCTGTGAATGTGTCTCCTCCAATACACCTATAGCACATTTTGGTGTCCTGGGAGGCCAGCACACATTCAAGGAACAACAAAGCACCCTCTCTGTGTGTGTTCACTCCCTCCAATACCCCGAAGCACAATTGAGTGTCCTAGAGTACCTGCACATAATGAAGGACACCAACAAAGCACCCTCTGCGAGTTTGCCACCGCCGGTACCCCAATAAACCGTTCAGTGTCCTGGGGTGCGAGGGAGGTGGTGTCGGAATGGCCAACAGAATAACACAGAAAAATACAAAAGACAAAAAGAGAGAGCCTGTGTCTGGCACATGCTGAAACAGAATACAGCAGCGACTGAAAATATGCAGAAGAAAGGCGACTTCTCACCCACATTGTTTCCTTTCAATGCATCAGATTCCAGACCCTTCGCGAGCGCAACTCTTCAAATGGATGTGCAAGAAGTTGATTTCAAGCTCTCCAGATATTTCTGAAACTGATCTGATCATGGGTCAGTGACAAGCAGGGAGTCTGGTGCCGTGGTTGCATTGAAAATGAAGTCGCAGGATGAGTGGCATTTGCATGGCTCTCATGCAAAATAAGTATGGGATGTACGCATCAAGAAAACGAAAGTTTTATTTTATGTTGCAAATAACTGTTAATTGTCTTCCCGTAACATAAAATCGTAGCACCGTACACAGTATGGAACGAAAATTTTCTCCCCGGTGCCCCTTTATTATAAAGAAATGCAACAAATTAACATATAACGTACTTTACTTTTTCGGCTTCGTTGCACCTGATTCAAGTGAGCCTGCATATGCTTCGTCATCAGCAAACGGTTCAAAAACACCCTCGGGCGAACGGAGCACTTATTACTGTAGTAACCGAGCGGATTTGAGCCCCCCCATCATAACTCCCTCAATGATAAATTGCAGATGATATGAAGATTGTCTTACATAGTGGCATTGGTCGTCGTGCAACTTGAGTGGCCCAATTTGCCCACAAGGTAACTGTGAAATAGGATGGTCGTCACTGGCTCAGATGATTGCTTGCCTAGTGGCAATCGAGAAATGATGCATCAGTTCTGTTTTCCACATGCTTTATTGTTATTATCATACTTGGGGTGCTCTCTAATAACTACAGCACATCTCAATGGTCCAACAGAATCATCTCTGTACATTTCTACACAGTGAATGTAGTAATGTGCAACACTTTTACGTACTTCACGGCCAGTTGAATGTCCAAACATGTTGTAGTCATGTTGCGTATTCCTAGCTGCACATTGCAGGATGTGGTGGGTGTGACTGCCCTACAATGTGCAGGGCAACCCCACCCATCAAAAAGACAGTCAAGTGTGCATGTATTTTTCAACAACGCAAATGACACACAAGATCAGAACTGTTACAAGAATGACGAAATATACTTG